TCCTGTACCCACCTCTGACTCTGCTGTTTGATTGCTCAGAGCTCTCAGCCCCACATCTGGAAGAGCCGATAAGAACATGTGGGTGCACCCTGTTTGGCACTGGGGGAGACTCATGTGGGTACACGTGGGCCCACCTTCTGGCCACAGCAAACGCCCTGGCCAACCCCTATGCTGACCGCTGGCAAGGCTGGCCCTGCGCTCCCCAGGTTCTCAAGTATGGCCATGACCCGCACTGTCATGCCCCCTGTGAGGGTGACATCCTTCACCTCCATGTTTTGGAAGGGCTCCACCTGCCCCTGTAGGGGACCATGGATGCCAAACAGACTCGGAGTCCTTTGGAGGCAGGATCCGAAATCTCAGGTTGGTGGGAAGTCTGAATGGATGGAGTGAGACCAAGGATGCAGCCCTCACCATGTTCTCTGGAAGGACAGACTGTCTCAGACCTGTGTCCACGGAGGAGCAGTCACCACGGAGGACTCCTGGGGAGCTGGAGGGCAAAGATTCTTCTGTCTGTCCAGCCATGACAGCGGATGACAGCTGGCCTCCGTCCTTGCCCTCTGCACAGCCTCCCGGAAGAAGCAGAGGCTCCTCTGGGGCCCTTGCAGAGTGGCCGTCCTCTCCTAGAGCTGGTCCAAGCCTTTTAGCACAGCTGGGGAATGCCCGCTGGTCAGAGGCTGGTGCCGCTGGCGAGCCCCACAGAGCAGCGGGAGTGGCTGGGAACCTCAAGGCAGGGTGTGTCCGTGGGCTCCATCCCCTCCCTCAGGAGAGGTTGGCGACTTGGCGACCAGAGCTGACTCGTCCCTGGGCGTGGATCTGCCTTCCTTTTCTACAGCATCGATGCCATCAGCACCAACAAGACGTGCCAAGTGCCTGGCTTCCCCACAGACGTCCACCTCAGCCGCGCTGGATCGGGACCCCATCGTCCCCTGGCAGAGCAGCACAGCCCAGTGAGACAGCCAGCGAGCGAGCGAGCGTGGGCATGGGCTCCACGGGCCCTGCCCCCTGGGCCCCGTCCCAAGCTCCTGGATACCAGAACAATGGCATCGCAAACTGGAGATCAGCGTGGGCATCAGGGCTGGGCAGCACCCTGCGGAGTCAGGCCAGAGCTCCCCAGGATTTGGGAGCTGCACTGGGCCCATGGTGCCACATCCAGGAAGAGCCTGGGGGTGGCAGTGGGACTGGCCCTTTTCACTGGCTTGAGAATCTGCCCTCCTCGCTCTGTGGCTCTGGCCTGGTGGGCTGGCGATCCTGGTTTCCAGGGCAGGGAGGGTCTTCCAGGGAGCGCCTCAGAATCCCAAGTCCCAGCCTCCACGGGTGGGTGTCAGCCCCTGGGGCGAGTGTCAGTGGGCAAACAGGAAAACGCGGTTCCTGGTGAGGTCGACCAAGCTCCACCGCCCGGAGGTGCCAGGTGGCTGCTACAGAATGTGGGCAGAGGGGAGCCTGTCTGAACCTGGGGAGTCCTGGAGGCACGTTTTGCTGTCCCCAGTCCTGGCGGTGACTGAGGCATGTGTGCAGCAAGTGCAGTCTGATCTGATGAGGGCAGGTCACCAGGGCCCCAGCACTTGGTGGATGCAATTGGGTCTCCCCACCGGGGAGGGTGGCTGCCTGGGGGCGGGGAGAAGGGGGTGATGGTCACCCTCCACACTGCCGTGGCCGCCTGGAACTGTGGTTTCCCCCCACCATACTAATTCCTCACAGGGGCTGTCTGTCGCTGGCCTCCTCTTGGCGGCCTCATTGTGGAGAACCAGCAGCACAGCACAGCCGCGCACCTGCAATGGCCCTCGGGACACTCACCTCTTGGCCTCATCCCTGACCTCAGCTATGGGGTGGGGACAGTCCCCTGTGGTGTCAAGCACCAGCTCAATGCACATTCTAGTTGGGGCTCAATATAACTGATGGGTACAGCCAGGGGGGGCCGGGTGCCCTGGATGGCTGAGGGCCACCCTCCACCAATCCATCCTCAGGAAAGGACAATCTGTGGGACATTTGAACACTTCTCGGTGGCCACGGCATAACTGTACCCCAGTTGCCTATAACTGACCTCAATAATCCACCCCTCATAGCTCTTCTTTCTTCTGCCCACTCTAACCCTTGTCCTGTCCCTGGGTCACCTCCCAAACTCCCTGCAAAGAACATCCCGGCCTCAGGCCTGCTTTGGGGGGTGACCAATCTCCTTCCAGAGGAGGCGCTTCCCACAACCCATCACCCCAACTAGAAACCCAGACATGACCTCAGCACCCGCGTGTCCCCAGCATGCCTTTCTTGCCCTCACTGGGACTGTCCCCCTCCTGCTCGCCCTGACTGCTCCCGGCCAGCATCCTGCAGCTGGTGAGGAACCCAAAGCAAGTGGCCTCAGGACTCTGTCTCACTGCGTGCCCCGCCCGCCCGCCCGGGGTCAGAGGGCCGTGCTGAGCCCCCATGGACAGCCCTGAGCTCCAGAAGCCAAGGTCTGAGCCCAGGGCCTGTGGTGAGGTTCCCAAACACTCTTAGGAGGACAGCGGGAGGGAGCAGCAGCATCCTGAAGATTTCTGGGCCTCTGGTGACCCCCTGCATAGCCAGGGTGGTGGGCACTCACCCAGCAGGGCACCGCGAAGCCCCATTCTGTCCCCTCCAGTAATCTTCGCTGTGACAGAGAACTCAAGACTGAAGGAGCCGTCCAAGGTCAGAGCAGTAACTGCAGAGCTGGGACCTACATCCACTGTCCTCCAGGGCCGGGGCTCTCTCCCCAGAACAGAGGGCAAGCGTATTAAGATAAGGATTGAATGCCCACAAATTTTTTTAAATTGTCTTTAATAATTTTTTGCCTCATTTACCAGATAAATCATCTAAATAAATAGATGCTATACAGTCTCTTACCAATATCAGTACAAAAATAAAACTGCGCTCTGCACCCGCTCTGACCCTCCCCAGCCGCACCATCAGGAAGGCGCGCCCTGGGAGCTGATGCCCGGTCCTCGAGTACATTCATGTCGTCTGAACAAAGCTCGAAGCTCATCTGTGCAAAGGACGCGTTCTTGGCTGAGACCTGGTGGCCACATCTGGCCATTTGTAAAGCAAAAGCTACACGGGCTTCCATTCAGATGCCTAGCGCCTTCCCGGAGGAGGCGGCGAGGGACATTGGCAAAGGGGTTACCGTCCTGTAGAATGATAAGGTTCCGTGCCAGGGGTGGGTGGGACATTCCACCCCGCTCCATGGCGACAGTAAAGTACCAACAGGCCTCTACATTCAAAAGGGGCTGGGGAGAGGCAGGCGGCCCGTGTTCCCCAGCCCCAGGGTACTGGCCTTCCGGGGAGCTGTGGGGCGGGAGGTCACTGTCCACCTGGTCTTCTCTCACCTGACCCTAGCTGGGACACTCAGGGCCGGGGGGAGGCCTGTATGGCCAAACCCAACCCCTCACAAAGGTCACCTGTCCTGGGCTGAAAAAGACCGTCACTCCAGGGCTAGGCCTGGACCTCACCCTCTGAGCCACAGGGTTCCCTGTGGGCCACAAAGGTCTGAGGAAGAGGAGATGCATGTTCTGCTGCTGCGGACAGAAACACAGCTGCCTCACCCACCAGGAAAAAAAAAAAGCAAAAAAACAAAAACAAAAGAACCCAAGCCCCCAGGGCCACAGCTGGCAAACTTGACAGCTGAGGACCCCCAGGAAGCAGGAAGAGGGCCTGTGTCTCCTGAGGGGGCGGAGTGTGTCTTCTGCTAGAAGCTGTGGCCCTGTCCCAGAGCCATGGTCCAACAGTCAGCTGGAGAGGACCCCTCGCTGTCCCAGCCTCAGCCCTCCACCTCCCGGGCTGGGAGCCCCTGCCCCCAGGCTTCCCCTCTTCTCAGGGTCGTGCAGCTGAAGCCCCTTCCCGGGCCCACCCCACATGCTCATCTAGATCCCATTCCCTGGGCTGGGGTGAATCAGGTCACCTATTGTGACTGTCCCCCAATGGAAGCACTGAATTGATCCCGGGCAACGAGAATTAGAGAGAGGGAGAAGGAGCTGGGCATTGGGAATCTTGCCAACAAAGCATCCCAAAAAGGAAAAGGGAGCCTGCTGTCTTTGGTTTGGGAACTGGGGAGGAGTCTGGGGGAAGAGTCACCCTGCCCTTGTCCTCACGAAGACCTAATGACCTTCTGAGGACAGGCACAGAGTCAGGGGACAGGGCTGAGCTCCCAGCCACAATGGCTCTACTGTGTTCAGGTTACCCCGACTCTGACGGGGGTGGGGGAGTGGACCTGCTCCCTGCTCCCCAGGACCCCTGACTCCATCTGGCCTTCTCTCTGGGACAGGGCTGGGATGAGGGAGCAGGGAAGCCACCAGCCCACAGGGAACCTTGGGGCAGACCAGGAGCCAAGCATCCCTCCTCCTGGCAGACACAACCTCGCCAGGGCGCTAGGCTTGTGCACAGCCTGAACTACCCTCCCCTGCGGCTGGACCCCCACAGGAAACAAGGCCAATCCCTGCCGTGCTATTTAGGTCTGGTGGGAGGACACAGAATGAAGTGGGAAGGGGTCCAGGAGACAAGGGCTGCCCTGAGAAAGTGGGACACCCCCGCCCTTCCTGCCTGCCCACACCCACACCATGCTTGGGGTCGGCTGAGCTGGAGGGGAGGGCAGAAAAAGGGGAGTTGGAAGGGCTGAAAAGTCACCTGAGTCAGAAAGGACAAGAATCCCTGTGGGAGGAAGGACAGGTCACAAGTGTCTTGGAGTCTATGCAGATGTGTCAGCATAACTGGGCAGATGCTTGCACACCTTCTGCTTGGCCAGGCACAACCAGGAAGTCACATCTGCATGCCTGGAGCAGCAGATGCCGCCATGCTCGTGGCCAGAACCTTGTTCTCGCTGACAGCTGCGAGCAAATGGAGCTGGAACAGGTCCTGTCGCGTGACCTGTGCAAGGTGGTGGGTTGCCGTGGCGAGTTCTTTTGTGCTGTGAATTGCCCTATGTTCACCTGGCCAGGGTTTCTAAAGGAGGCATGTGAGGCCCACGTGGACACTCAGGGCACATGTGATGTACACAAGGGGCATCGTGAACGCTGTGCCATTAGGTGTGCACATATTTCCACACGAGCCAGGAGATGGGGCAGGATCTCTCAGCAGAGGGAGCCCAGGGGGCAGCCTCCTCCCTGGGAAGGAGTCTGTGACTCTACCTCAGACCCTCCCTCCAGCCCCTTCTCCCTGACCTGGGCCCTGGGGTGAGAGCAGCCTCCGAGCCCCACCAAAGCTGGAGGGGAAAGATCAAAACCAACACCCAAGCCCAAGAAAGGGGTGGAAGGGCCAGACAACCAGACAGGCTGGGGCTGCCAGGTGGGGCCCTGCCTCCCGGGGCTCCTTTCCCTCCTGGCAGTCAGCTGCAGAAGCAGCCTGAGCAGGTGGCCCTGTCCCCATCAGCCTGGAGATGGGACCCTAAACCGAGCAACACCAACCTTCCCAACCCAGCCCTAAGGCCTCTCTGCAAACGCCCTTCACAGAGAAGGGCAGGGTGGTGGGAGGTTGTGGGGCCATCCCCACTTCTTCTGCTTGGTGTTTTTTTTTAAATAAAATAATTACCCTGCCCCAACCCCTCCCTGTCTCGGGAGTTCCCCACCCCAAGCCCCAAAGGAAACAGCGAAGAAGAACGGGGTGGAAATGGTGATTCAGAGCCTCTCGCTGCGGTCTCGGAAGAAGCCCTCTGCTGCCTGGGCCTCTCGAAAGGTGACGGTGATGGAGTTGGCGGTGATGTCTGTGACGGTCACCTCACTTGAGGGAAGCACAGGTGTCCAGGGAGGGGGCCCATCTGCCAGTTCTGCATCTGCTGCAGCCACAGGACAAAGACAGGGACAGAGGACAGGTTGGCAGGGGGAACGGCAGCAGCATGCAGACCCCTCCCAACTCCAGGTCCTTCCCATGGGACCTAGCACTGGTCCCCCAAGAGGGTGCCGTTCCCCCCCAGTCCCTGGCGGACAGAGTCTTCCATAGAGGGTTGCCAGCTCTGGCCAGGGGTCAGGCTCAAGTCAGTCCCCACAGTCCCGACTGGCTGTGTGGCCAACCAGGTCCCCGAGGCTTGGGTCAACTGGACCTGGTGGCCTCCAAGGACACTGCAGATCTGAGGCCCAGTGCCGGGCTGTCTTACCCTCCTCAGGGGGCTGCTCTGCGGGCTCCCACTGGCCCGCCGCCTGCAGGTCATCCGAGGCCGGTGTCTCCTGCAGGGAGAGCTCCCGTCGATGGCTGTGACTCTCCAGGTGGGACCCGCGAGGCGGGAACTTCTTGCGCGAGAGCCGCAGATACTTGTGGGCCTTGCGGGGCTTGCAGAGCGGGAAGGGCAGGCCGGGCACCAAGGGGCCCTTGTCCACCAGCTCAGGCGCCCCCGCCTTGACCACCCCCTCCGGGCTCCCGCTGCCGAGTGGGCGCGCGAGAGAGAAGCAGAGCTTCTCCTTGCCCTTGGCCTTGTGGGAGCTCCGCAGGTCCATGCTGTAGAGCCGCTGCAGGGGCAAGCCAGGGCGCGGGTCAGCCCCGCCTCCCGTCCGCTGCCACCTTCGCCTTCGCTAGAGCCCTGGCCCCTGGCGCCCGGTGCCCGCCGCTCCACACCCCCCACAGCTGGCCAGAGCCGCAGCGCCCCGGCCCCCTGCCCGGCCCTATGGAGGGGTGCGGACGGACCAAGGACAACAACCACGGGGGTGGGGGCGGAGGCGGCACACCGGGAAAGGAAACCCAACTGGGGGACCTCGATCGCCTACTCCACACCAGGCCTGGGTCCAGCCACCAGAAAAAAATTGTTTTTGAAGTGGCTTCTGAAGCACTTTAGGTTCTAGGAGAATCGCTGCTGCACACCACCCTCAGCTGGAGCAGCCAGCTCCCCTGAGTGGGTTCTTGTGGCAGCCAGGCTGTGGGGACAGACAGCACAACCTGCCCCCAGCTGAAGGGACAGCGTGCTGCCCCTCAGCTCTGTGGGGCCCAGGCCTCTGCCAACCTGCGTCTCACCAAGGAGCAGGGTGCAGCGGGGGCTTCTTACACCAAAGGCCCCAGTTCTGAGATGGGGGATCTGTCTCCCTGCCTTTGGGGAGAATTTAAGTCTCCAAGAAAGGAAGATACGGGATCTCCCCCATCACTCTGGCACAGTACCTTCACCTGTCACCTGTCACCAGAGGCTGAGGGCTCCTAGAACAGCAGGAAAGATGGGGCCGATGGAGTCACAACCCAAGTTGGAGGCCGTGATGACACATGCGGCCTCCACTCAGTCCAATCTCCTAATCCCGTCCACTGCCCTGGGTGCGGCTGTGGCGGAAGGAAGCAGGGCCAAACCCAGAGGGGCCTGGGAAACTAGAGCGGGGGCTAGTCCCACCGCCGCCCTGGGAGCCTCCCCTACTGTCAGCAAGGCAGGCTCTTTCAGTGCGATGCCACCTCTCCATGCGAGAACAGGGGGCTCCAGGCCACAGCTCGGTTCTCACCTGCTGTGTGACTCCAGGTCAACCACAGGCCTCCCTGAGCCTCAGCTACTTCAACAGCAAAGCAGTGAGGAGACCTCAGTGGACAGCCTCTGACAATACCTGCTTCCCCACCTTCATGCCATCGGTGGTCCCTTCTCACAAGAAACACTGCTGCGTGTGACTTCCTGGGCCTGGTCACAAAGACACAGTGGCTTCTTCCTTGCTCGTGGATCACCCACGTGGGGAAGCGAGTGGCGGTACTGTGAGGGCTCACACTGCCCGGCAGGGCCTCATGGCAGGAGCTGCCCTAGAACGACTGGCACGGATCCTGGGCCTGGAGCAGCCCCAGCCCAGCCCGGGCATCTGACCTGTCCCCTGACTACCCAATCAGGACCACTAAAGAACCGGCTAAAGTGCTCCCAAATTCCTGATCCACTGAAACCATGTGATGATGAGTTCAGTGGTTTAGGTTGCTAAGCTGGGGTGACTTGTTATAGATTTGCCATGGATAACTAATACACCTACCCGGCAGGTTTGGCACGCAGAGGAAATGTGGCCATTTGCGAAGCACCAGATACACCTCCCCACATGCAGATCTCTGGCAAATGTGACTTTCCATCCTGGGACTCCATTCACATCAAACACCATGGATCATCCCCCACAGGAAGGAGGCTGTCACTCGCCAAGAAAGCCCCAGGTGATCCATAACCTCCACACTGCACGCGATCCAGGGAGCCTTGTGCTTTGATTCAGACACAGGGGTGGGGGTGGCGGGCGCTTGTGAAATTAAAGCAGGTGTTTTTATGCTCACAGTGAGAACCCAGCACCGAGAACCTCAGCAGCTTGCCCAGAACACACAGCTGCACCTCAAGCCCCATTTGCTTTTCATGCTCCCAGACCTAAGATGTAGGTGTCCAGGGTATCAGAGCCCCGCCTCTCAGAGGACCCAAAAGGAGTCCCCAGGGGTTTCTTCCTACTCAAGAAGGACACCTTTCTAGGAGCTGGTGCTCCACAGCTGGTCCACACACGAAAGGCCTCTCCTTCCCGGGTTCTAGAAGTCCAGACTCTATGTCCCCTAACCGCCAGAGTCTGTGTTTCTGAGGCTCTTAAATATTACAATTTTCTGTTTGGGGATTTTGAGCATCATAGGCTTATTTATGAGATTCTAAGCTTTCAAACATCCTAGGACTAAGATCAGCATGGTGGCGCACGCCTATAATCCTAGCAGCTTGGGAGGCTGAGGCAGGAGGATCTTAAGTTTAAAGCCAGCCTCAGCAAAAACAAGGGACCTTAGTACCTTGCTTACAACTCAGTGAGACCCTGTCTCTAAATGAAATACAAAATAGGGCTGGGGATGTGACTCAGTGGTCGAGTGCCCCTAAATTCAATCCCAAGTGTCCCTCCAAAAAAAAATCCTAGGCCTGTATTAGCCATGTGGCCCCTCCTCCCACAAAGGCTCCCCCCACGGGGGGTCATCTTTCCTCAGTTCCTGCTCCATGTTTGGGTTTTTCCCCTTCTGTGGAAAATCACCCACTGAGTGTCCCACCCCACAGTGCCCAGATGGTACCAGGGGCGGGCAAGTGAACCAGTTCAACCAGCCAATGCAGATGCACTCAGGGGGGTGAGGGGAGGCAGGGGCTGGGGAGGGCAGGGGACGAGGAGGCCCTGCGGCAGCCGGGTTACCTGCAGCAGAAGCCGCTTGGGTTTCGGGCCTCTCTTCCTATACCCAGACGCTCGGTCTCTCTCCTCTCTAGATGCAAGGCAAGTGGCAGAAGAAAAGGAAACACTGGTGACATCTCAGGGAAAGGAAGGTGTCTGCTCCATCCCCTCCTCTGTCTGTCGGGATGGAGACCGCCCAGCATCCCGAAGTCCTCCAAGGCTCTCCTGGGGCCCTAACAATGGTCAGGGGTCCACTTTCCGGGGCTTGGACTTCCCATCCGATAACGGGAAGGGGACTGTGTGTCACTGACGTGGGGCTCTCCGAGGCTCTCCAAACACTGAGTCCTCCCTGAGCTCCTGCTGTGCATGCGGTGGGGACCTCCAAGGTGCAGTTGTCGCTCTTAGAGGAGCGGCGTAGAAACCTGCCAACCCAATGTGCCTTGAATGTCCTTGGGGGGCTGGGGAGAGTGGCGAGTCCTGCCCGCTGGCCTGACTTGAGACCCTTAGGAACCTGAACGGAGGAAGGCTGCACCATCTCATCAGGGTGGGGAGGAAACCCAGCTGTAGGGTGTCTGCCGATGGCTCTCACGGTGCCCCCCAGGCACAGGAGACACCATGACCAGAGGCTGAAAACCACGAGGCCAGAGTAGACAGCTCCAGGCCTCTGCCTCCTGGTCACTGGTTCAACTCACTTCCTGTGGCCCCCACGATGGAGGCCAGGAAGACAGCAGAGAATGTGGGGGTGGAGTTAACCGCCCCACACCCCGCCCCCGCCTGGCTGGATGGCCTGGGCCAGTCTCAGTATGAGCTCAGCACAAAGCAGTGAATCCACGGCCTCTGTTTAAATGTCGGTCACCCTCCAGGCAGATCCTGGCACCCTCTGGACATGGGTCTCGGGACAGCCAAGAAAGGCACTTTGCAGTCCCACCTGGGTCTTCACCCCCACATGGCTCGCCTGGCCACACGCCAAGGTGGTCCACAGGATTCTCCCAAGTGGCACACCCTGTTGGACTAAGGCCCCACCAAGCACCCCGGAGGAAGAAAGAAGCTGGGGACGGGACACCCTGGATTTTAAAGGAAAGAACAATAAAAGTGCGTCCTTTGAATCAGCAGCCATGGAGACTGTGGGAGAAGCACTGAGCACAGTGAGGAGCTGCCGCCTGCCCCGTGGCCTCGTGCCAGTCTCCAGCCAGGGGCCCAGGACAACCGAAACTCCTCATCTGCCACACGAGCCCCTGGTCCCTGCCTCAGGAGGCTGCAGTAAGGGACCACATAAAAAGGATACAGAGACAAGGCCCACACTGCATGGGCCTCGCTGGGAGAACCGTGGGCAGGGCTGCTGGGCACAAGGGCCAGATGGCGCGCGGAAACCCCGCAGTAGCTGGCAGAAGAGGGGACCCACTTTACCCTGGGGCTCTGCTGGGAGCTGGCCAGGAGGAGGGCCAGAGCTCAGCAGGTCACACCTCCTCTGGGCTCAGGTGACCTCATCAGACTTCCCTCAGTGGAAGGACAAGCCACTGACATGCCAATCACACGACTGGCACCTTGGGAGCCACCCCTGTCTGCCTCCCCTGAACACAACTGAGGCCTCGGGCTGGAGCTCCGGGTGTCAGAGCCAAGAGGTGATGGCCGGGCAGCTAGAGGAAGTGGCAGGCAGAAAAGGAAGGGGACCCGGAGTTCTCTGTGCCCACCACCTTCCAACGCCTGGTCAGACACCCCGGTCCTGGCCCCAGCGGCCCCCTGCTCAGGGCCACGCTGCAGCGGGACCCCTAGGAAACCTGGAAGTGGGCCCAGCAGCCGCAGGCCCTTACTTCTCCTCGTAGGCCAGGACCAGGCGGGGGTCCAGGATGTGCTCCTCCGGCTCCCACGTGCTGTACCTGAGAAGAGAAGTAACAGATGAGAGCTGTCCTGCCTCTGCCTGGCCGCAGAGGCCACGGCCACTGTCCCAGGGCCCTCCCTCACCAAGCCTCCAGTCCTTCCTGGTCGGGGGGGGGGGCTGCCACGCACTCCCAGGGGCTGACCTGTTTGGGCCCCAATGACACCAGAACTCCCCTCCCTCCTGCCTCACCACAATCTGACCGGCCGGGTCCTACTCTGGAGAGACCCCACATTCACCCAAGGCCCTTGATGCCTGGAAGACAGCAGGTCCCTGTGTGTCCCAGGAAACTGGGGGACACTCTTAGTATGACAGCGTGGGGGCTCTGGAGCCACCTGGCCAGGGTTCAAGTTCCAGTTCTGCCACAGCTAGCTGGGCAGCCCTGAGCCATTTACTCAACAGCTCTGGGCCTCAGCGTCCCCCTCTGTAAAGGGCTCTTGTGCTGATAAAATGTTCTACTTAAGTGTCCAGAGCCAGTGGCAGGTGGGGAGCGCTCTGCGGTGTCTCCCAGTGTTTACCAGCACCACGGGTTCCCCCCAGCCTTCCAGCCCAGCCTGCGGGGGTCACCGCTCCTTCCTGCCTCGGGCACCTGCACCAGGCCTTCACATAAGTGCCCTAGTCTCTGGGCCTGGCACCCCACAGGTATCTGTAAGTATCTATAACTCTGGTGCAGTGCTCCCACAGTTGACCTCAGCACCCCCAAGAGCCGAGGGACACAGGGGTGACAGCACCGCTCCCCAGGGCTCTGCCCTGATCAGGCCTGGCTGGGGACAATGCCACAGGTGCCTTCCACCTTCTTTTAACTACTCAGCACCAGCCTCCTGCAGTGCAGCCTTTTTGTTTAAATAATTTCATTTTAAAAGCAAACTTTTGTGACTTCCATATGGAAAAACCAGTATCACTCATCATAAAGAGATGTAAGTATAAAACAGTTTTTAGGGTGGGGGTGTCCTCAGTGTATACCACTTGCCTAGCATGTGTGAAGGCACTGGGTTCCATCCTCAGCACCGCATATGAATGAATGAATAAATAAATAAAATTTTAAAATATACATATGTATGAGCCACATGTGGAGTCACATGCCTGTAATCTGGGCAACAGGAGGCTGAGGCAGGAGGATCACAAGTTTCAGGTCAGCCTGGGCAACTTAGTAAGACTGTTCTGGGGCTTAAGTTGTACTCAGTGGTAGAGCACTTGCCCAGCAGGTGTGAGGCACTGGGTTTCATCCTCAGCACAATATAAAAATAAATAAACAAAATAAATGTGTTTTGTCATCTACAACTAAAAATATTTAAAAAAAAAAAAACTGTCTCACAATGTATTTTTTTTTAAATGGGCTGGGACTATAGCTTGGAGACTGCCTCCTGGCTCCAATCTCCAGTACTACAAAAAGGTCTGTACACACGAGTGCATATAAATCCCTATGTAAAATACCTGTGTATCTAAGTATATAAAGGTAAAAACACAGGCAACAAATGTGTCTAAACCAAAACAAAGCAAAGTTCCACGATCTTGGCAAGAGGCCTTGCTGGGTGAGAAGGCAAGTAACTGGGGAGCTTCTGGAGGCAGAAGAGGCAGGCAGAGCCCCTGCAACTGCAACCTCCCAGGTTAACCTATCAGAATACCTATTTATTTTTCTTCTTTATTTGTTCTGATCTCAGGATATTTAACAGTAGACCAGGGTTGGGCAGCAAGACATCCCAAGACAGAAAGCACTCTTCCTCCTTCCACTCATCTTCCCTCCCACGTACTCCACCATCAGGCCTGGTGCAGCCTGGCCTGGCTTCTGTCATCTGTGCTGTGCCCCACCTCTGGGTGCTCCGTCCCTGCAGTGAGCCAAGCCAAGCTTCCCAGGCTTTATGGAATGGCCCTCCTCCCAGCAGGCCCAAGTTTAGGTCCAAGATGAATCCAGCAGGGCCTGGCCCAGGCCCAGCACCTGGCCTGGGAGTAGCTGTGGAGGCCCCACATAGTTCTGTGCATCCTGCAGGAAGCCCAAGGACCCAAAGGCTGATGCAGACTATGCCCTCCTCCCCCCAGGAAAGGTTGGCTCTCTCAATGAATCTAGTAAGGAGGGGGATCCTGGTTCCTCCTGGGTGGGCGGGACTCACCTCTCTCTAACTGCTGCCCTTCCTCTCCACCCAGCCCACCTGCCATGGCAGGTTCATTCTTGCTGATGTAGCTGCTCTGTGATTGCTGGTAAGTCCCTACCCTTCTCTTGACCTCAATTTCCTCATCTTAAAGAAAAACCACCCCCACCCCCTCAGTGACAGCTGGTGCACCAACAACCGCCAGGAACTTGTCCCTTCTTCACAGCACTCTGAGGAGGTAGGTTCTTACACTACCCCATTTTGCAGATGAAGAAATGAGACACAGAAGTTAAGCAGCTAGCGGGGGATCAAGAGCGGGTGAGTGGCCAGTCTGTGCTTGGAACTCAGTTCCACTCCCTGTCGCCCTCTACCTTAGGATGCCTCACAGGACACCGTGTCTGGCTCCTCACTGGCTGACATCCCTGAGAGAGTAGCACTGCCTGTCTGACCCTGGTCCTCGGTGTCTGACCAGGGCCTGGCACATTGGTGCCCAGGACAGGGAGGCCAGATTGAGAGCAGGATGCTTTCTGGTGTGGGTGGGCCGTGGCAGCTGTCAAGTGCCGCTCCGGCTTGCGGCTGGATGGGGCGGGCCTTCAGAGGCACCTGGGCCCCTAGGCCCCCTGGCTCCCGAACCCAGCGGAGCGCCCCGCGCACTAGGGGAGCCAGGAGGCTGCAGGGTGGGCAGGAGCTTGGATGACAGGCGGGGCCCAGGTAGGCTGGGCGCCAGCGCGCGGCCGACCCGGGATATCCTCAGGGCCGCGGGTCTGCGACCATTGGCTGCGTCGGCTGCCGGGAGCGAGCGCCCCGCGCCGGCGGGACAGCGAAGTGGAGGGACTGGGGCGCCCCGCCCTTCGCAGCAGGGCCGCGCGCACGCACGGTCACCCGGCCAACCAAGGCGGGCGGGGGCGGGGACAGCGCAGCGGCTCCGAGATAAACACGGCCACGTGACCCCGCCCCGCCCCCAGCCCCGGTAAACAAGCCGCCGCGCCCGCCGCCCCCAAGTGAGCTCCATCCTTAGGCGATACAGGCTCCTCCTGTAGAGCGGGCGTCAGCGAGGCAGGTCGCCCCAAGTCCCAGCAAGCCTCACCCGTACGTGGAGGCGGCGCTGCCGAGCTGTGGCGCAGCTTGGGGCCGGGGCGAGCCACCCCAGGTGCCATGCAGAGCCAGGCCAGCAGCAGCGCCCCTCTAACTGTCCTGAGTGAGAAGCCCCGGTGCAGACTGCCGGGTCCCGCCTTGGGGGCAGGTGACTTGGTCTGACTTCCATCCCTCTGGGGCCTCATCCTAAAGTGGGGCTCTCAATAAATAATCCCTTCGCTTAGGGTTGTGAAGATTAGCTGTGTTAAGCCACATAACGCACTTAGATCAGTGTGGAACTCGATAAGTGCAAAAAAAGCAGTAATGAAATCAATTTCAAAAAACCTAGAGGGCCCAAGTCTGCCAGAGTGGGAACCCAGGGCTCTGCTGCTACTGTCCAACCCTAGCTGTGGAGGAGGAATACCTCTTACTCTGTGGCTAGAAGCCATTAGTGATTGTCTTGGTCTTCAGCAGGGGCCTTATTCTACAGATGGGGAAATGGAAGCACAGAGAGATTGAGGGTTTTATCCTGGGTCACACAGCTGGTGAAACTACAAAAACTACTATTTTTCTAAGGTAAATGGTCTGGCCCCAAAGCCTGAGCACATCCCATTGAGCTGGCCAAAAGGCCAACAGACAAGAGAGACTCCTGGCTTGGTCACCTTGGGTGGAGCTGGCTGTTTATTACAGCTGGTGGGTCCACAAGCCTTGGGATCCAGCAGCCTGAAATTCAGATTTTTCCCAGCTGACTCTGCAACAGCTCTTTGCTGGGGCTTCTGTCTCTCCATCTATGAAATGGAGGACTCTAGGGCAACTGATGGGCCAATGTCTGGCTCCTAATGGGAGTTTTTTGATTGGCAGTTTGGTGACTGCTGTACTCACTGATGTTACTATTAAAGTTCCACGGAGCCAGGCCTTCCTAAAAGATATAGTAGCATTCACAAGTGGGAAAGAAAGGAAAGCATCTAGTATGTGGGGGTAGCAGGGTACTGGGAAGGATGAAATGAGAGTGGAGTACCTAGAGGTTCTCCAGGGTGCAGAGACCACCATAAACCTCCCAAAGGGCATGAGTTACTTTGACATCCTCTGCCTTGTGCTCCCAACCCCTTCCTGTGCCATTTCGTTGCATAAGAAGCAGGAGCCCTGCACAGTGTTGTGGTGCACACCTGTAATCCCAGCAATTTTGAAGGCTGAAGCAGGAGGATTGCAAATTCAAAGCCAGCCTCAACAACTTAGCCTAAGTGACTCAGTGATACCGTGACTCAAAATAATATTAACAAAAGGTTTGGGGATGTAGCTCAGTGGTAAAGTGCCCTGGGTTCAATCTCTGATACCCAAAACAAAACAAGCCAAAAAAGCAGCAGCAGCAAGAGAGCCCCTCTGACATATCTGCTGGGGAAGGGGACACTCATTGTCCTACTCCTGGGGACCAAAAAAGGCATAGAAAGCTCCAATGGAGCCTGGCTCAGAGTGAGTACAGTTTGGGCTGGGTATGGTGGCCCATGCCTGTAAACCTAGCAACACAGGAGGTTGAGGCAGGAGGACTGAAGTTCAAGGTAAGCCTGGGCATCTTAGTGAGACCCTCTCTCAGAAACTAAAAGGGCTGGGATGTAGCTCAGTGGGAGAGCACCCTTGGGTTCAACTTCCAGTACCACAAAATCAATTACAGTTTGCTTATGGTTAATTGTAATTAACAGAAGTCTCCTTGCCCAGAGTGAGGACAGTGGCCACCAAGCAGGAGAACCTGAACCACACACCCCCGCCTGCCCAAGGCTGGCACTGCCCAGCCAAGGCTCCTGCCCAGGTGAATAGTCTGCCAGCTCCATCCCACCACCTTTCTTAGTCTCTGTTGCAGGCACCCTCCCCCCAGGAAGGGAGACCCCTGCTCTCCTGCCTCTACCCTGATTGAGCTGCTTTCTTCTCCCAAGTGAGGTGGGGATGACTGGCAGTACCTGCCTCGCGCAGGTGGCACCAGTGATGGTGGGAAGTGGGTAGCACACTGCTTGGAGTTGGCAATTATAGTCTTGGATGACCTCCCCTCTCTGGGCCTCAGTATCCTTATCTGAAAAATGAGCTCTTGTTAGAATGGAATCCCCTAGTTCGTTTCCTAGATGGGGCACCTTCCAAGCCTACCCACCTAACTCTGTACCAACTGCAGACATCCCCACTAAAAGCGGGTTGAGCCTGGCACCCTGCAGTTTTTGCCCTTTGTCGATCCTCCTAACAATCCACCCAAAGGACGGTTTATGGCTCCAATGTGAAGACCAGAAAGCAGACGTCCTGCCCTGCTGGGACCTGCCCAAGGCTCACAACTGTCCACTGTGCAGCCAGGAATCCAGTACCAAGGAGAGGGGACAGGCATAAGGCACCCCCTGGGTCACCTGGTCAAACAGGGCTTCCAGAGCTCCACTGGGGTCACAAGAGGGCCCACGTGATGTCTCAGCACCTTAATAAAAAAGTGGGCCAGGGACATAGGCCCACAGAAACAGCCAGGGCCTCTGCTCTCTGGCTAGCTCCCTCCTCCTGACTGAGCTCTGAGGGGCGCGCAGATGTATTGGTCTTTAGGATAGATCGATGAAAGTGGGAGAGAGGGAACTTTTCATTAATAGGGTCTCCGATTAGAGAAGGAAATCTATCAAAAGCTATAGTCAGGAGGACAAACAGCAAAGAGCGTCTGGAAAGCCAAAAAGACAGAAAGCCCCGCCCACTGCCATTCCCGAGAGCTGGGGGAGGGGAGGAAGGGCTGAAGAGCCCCTCCACCCAAGCCAGAATCCACCTGTGGCCAGTGGGGGAGGGGGTCCTCCCAAAGCTCCAGGCATATTTGGAAGGAAGGACTGAGGAGTGTATTATCTACTTGCTGGTCACCAGCTGTCATCAGGATGCTGTGGTGCCCAGTCCTTTCCCCTTACAAGGCAGAGCTGCCGGCGAGAGGACTATTGAGCCCATTTCACACAGAGGGAAGCTGAGGCCCCGCGGGGCTGTCTCCCCCTCTGCGGCCTCCCACCTCCCTCCCAGAAAGCCTGCAGGGCCAAACACGACGTCGGCACGCCCCCCTTTCTACACACACCAGGTGAGCAGGAAGCCCCAGGTGCGGACAGCAGGTGGGAGAGGGGGTTTCCAGGAGTCGGTCTGCAGGAGGCAGGCCGAGGGCGGGGCACCCACAGACCAATGTGAGGCCCCACGGCTTGCTCTTCCCTCCCCCAACAGTTCCCTGCTGGGAGGTGATTGGCTGGTGGGCGGGCTCCTGATTGGGCTTCAGCAGGAGAGGCGGAGCACGCGGGGGAGGTCTCAGGCCCAGCTCTCCGACCCCCGACTGTGGGATGGGAGGGTTGGGGCAGCAAGGAGACTGACCTGAAAATGGGGAGGACTGTTCAAGTCCCAACTGTGCCTCTACTTGCTGTGTGACCTTTTTCTGAGCCAGTTGCTCATCTCGGAAGCACAGATGCCGGGTCTTCACTCCCAGTTACCAGGAGAAGCCCAACACTGAGAGGGCAGCACCACAGGAGCTGGACCCCCACCTCGGGCACCTGTGCTCCGACCCCTGAAGGCGGCGGTGGAGGGGAAACATGATTTCACATGATTTCGTCAGGGTCAGCTGCCCAGTCACAAAGGCAGCCTACGCTAAAAGCTAGGCATAGGAGGGGGCACAAAGGGCGGAGGGATGGACAGGTAGACACACACGAAGGAGCCTTACTTTGGGGGCCATCCTTTCCACTTCACCAGATATTCCACTTTGCCCTGGGAAGAGAGAGAAACAGGAATAGTGAGACAAATGCTTGCCCCAACCTGTCAGGACAGTGAAGTCTCAAATGGCTTTGGAAAGGATCTTGGTCCCAGATACCCTCTTGCAAACAGCTGCGCTTTGACTCACAAATTACAACCCGGGGACCCTCCACTAGATCCCTACCAACCCAGAGACCCCCAAATGCCCCTGGGGCCAAAGCTCAGAGCTCTCGTCACACATGGGGACATGCATGTATGGCCAGAGATCCACAATGGCCAGAATCTCAGCGTCAAATTCATGACAACTGGAAGACTTTCCCAATGCTCTGGCCCAATCAGCTGAGTCTGTGCAAGAAGGACCCTTACATCAAAAGACCCTAGTAGGACCCCAGAGAAGGCTGACACACTCTCCACCTTCAGCAAGGCAGTAGATCCTTCCAATTATTAGGAAACAGAGCCAGTTCCTCCTCCCTTCTTCACAAGGGACAGGGACTTTTATAAGTGTGCAGTCCAAGCACATTGATTGGGCAAAGCTCCTCTCAACCACAACTTTAAGACCAAGATATGGCACCTCCTCAAAGAGGCCTTCCCTGGCCACCCTCCCGTCACTGTCCTCCCTAGCACCTGGCAGTCCTTCAGCAGAGCATACAGCCCATCCACAGGCATCTGTACTTATTTCCTCATTCATCACTGAGCCTCATCCCCTCTGCCAGAATACTGAAGGTGTCCCTGGGGCTAAGGATGGTCCCTGGAATAGATCTCCAGGGAATGTTTTCAGAGGCTGGCTGACACAGAGGTCCCCATTCTCTCATAACCCCTCCCACCGCCCCCCCCCAGGTTGTAGAATGGTGTGATGGTTGTACCTGCCTCTGGAAAGCACTGGGCTTTGTAGAATAAATTAATCCTCTTTTAAACCCAGGAAAACCTGGGGGAAGGGAAAGAAAGAAGGAGAGGCAGCCCCATTCAGAAGCAAGCTAAACCCAAAGCCCAGTTGGGGAGAGAAAAGAAGTTGACCTTTGGCTCAAGATGCAAGGACTGAGTTTTCATCATGGGAAAAAAATGGGCTTGCAAGCAACCACCAGAGCTGCTGCTCCACCTCTTCTCTAACTTGCTGTGGGTCTTGAGCAAGTCACTTTCCCTGCCTAGGGGGAGGAGAACACCAGGAGCCTCCCAAAGGGCATGAGTAAGGAGATGAAAGAAAAGGACAGGGGGGAGTACCAGGAGAGGAACTTTTCCCTATGGAAGCCCCCAGCCCAACCTCCAGTCCCCCTTAGGCAAACGTGCACTGGAAGTGCAGACTCTGGGCCAGGAGAATCAAATTGGTACAAGGTGGGGGGTCCTGAGCAGCATGGACGCCTCTTTAAATTGCAGGGTGTGTGTTTGGTAGGCGTAGGCAGATGGGGAGGAGCTTCGAGGATGCCCCAACGCCGGCGGCGGCTTCAGAGCCCGGGCGGAGCTGGAAGCTGGGGACCGGGTGGTGTGGGGGCTGGGAAAGAGGGGTGTGCACTGCGGGATAAGGATAGGAAAAGGTCAAAGTCCAGCAGGAAAACTTCCATAGGCTGGAGGACACTTTTTCAGAGCTCCGCCTCCAGCTTCAAGGGACTTGTTACTAAGAGTCCACAGTGCCGAGTTCGAGACCCAGCTCTGACACTAACGCACCGGGCAAGTCAACCTGGGCCTGCCTCCCCATATTTAAAATGAAAAGGGGATGAGGCAGGACGGCACTCAGAATTCCTATCCTACCCGATCCTCGTCGCAGTTGAGGTGGACTCAGCTGCCCCCAGCAACTTGCGCCAACAACTTTGATTCTACTCGCCCCACACGGTGGCAGGGAAACTGAGGCACCAGCGGGGGAGAGAGGCCCGGCGGCGCAGAGCTGCTTGACCTCCCCCCAGCCCCACGTTCCCCTAGCTCCAGCCTGAAGGGGGTGGTGCTGGGGACCCGAGGCGACTTCTGGGGTCCTGGGGCCGCCCCCGGGCAGCCTCACCTTCCGCACGCGCTTCTTCCGGATGCTCTCCACCGCGAACACCTGCTCACCGATGGCTGACAGCTCCATGTGGGGCGGCGGGCGAGCGGGCCCGGGGCCGGGCCGGGGGCGGAGCTGCGGGACCGCGGCTGCTGCGCGCGATGCTCGGGCCGCCGGGGTCCCCGTCACCCTCGGCGGGGCGCGCACGCGCACGCGCACGCGCGCACACCCCCTCGCGCTCTCTCACGCCGCCGACGTTCCATTTTTGAACCTGCGCAACGTTTTCCTCCGCGCCAGCAGGCGAGCGAGCGCGCGCGGGGAGGGGGCGGGGCGGGAGCGCGCGGGCCTGCGGGCCGCGGGGCTCAACTCGCGCCCTGCGGGTCAGCCCCGCCCCTAGCCTCCGGAGCCCCGCCCCGGAGGAGCCCCGCCCCGCCCTGGCCCCGCCCCGAGCCCCGCGGAACGCAGCGCTGTGGCCGGGAGCAGCTGGCAGATCCCCGGCGTGGCGTGGCGGGACTTCGGTGCTGCTGCGCCGTCGGTGCGCGGCGGTCGTCCTCGCGCCCCGGGCAGACCGTGATCTTTAACACCGAGCTGCGAGGCCCAAGGTCTTCCCGATGATTCTGTGGGGCCGAAACGGCCCGGCCCGGCCTGGGCAGAAAGGATAGGGGTGCAGGGCGGAGAGGTCAGCTTTCCCCCTCCCACGACGGGGGAGCCTCCGTCCGGCACCGACCCTAGTGCGGTAGGAGTGCGGACCGCACGAGTTTCCCACGCCGTCCGGGGGCCGCAGAACCCAGCTCTCAACTCCCGACTCCGGGGCGGCGTGGCCCGCAGGTCCTAAGCAGGTTCCTCCGCGTGCGACCTTGCGCTGGCCCACCCTACTATTTGCGCCGCTAACTTGCGGGCGCAGCACTAGGCGAGGCAACAGCTCGTGGCGGGTGAGGCCGCAGTGAAGATAAGGTACACACTGGGACCTGCCACACTGCCCAGCTCTTGCGATGAATGAATATGTGGTCCAGGTCGAACTCACCCCAGACCCATCCCTACCTCTGCTCAAAGACACCTCCATTCATCTTCGCCAAGAACCCGCAATCATCCTTGCCCCTCTGGTTCTTTCCCCATCCCGGCGTCGAGCCCAGGTCCTGCCTCTGACCTCCTCGCGGTGACTCAGAGCTGCACCTCCCTCACCTCCACACCCACTGCCCAGGTTCGCAGCAACGCCTCTCACCCAGCCGCGGTCCCCTCGGGTCTAAGAGCGCGCTCTCTAAAATATGCAGACCTGGCCGAGTCCCCCAGCGCTCAGAAACTTCCCATAGCTCCCCATTCCCTTCGAACACCTGTGCTCAGGCACAGAGAAATAGGTTTACAACTGACTTCATCAAGAGCAGCAAAGGGCAGTAAAATGATGTGTCCAATAAAATTCATCCTGGAATTTTATCTCCGGTGAAAATATGGTTCAAGAATTACGTAGGAGGCCGGTAGGGAGGAATAGAAGATTTTGGATTAGACAAAGGAAAATGAAGGGAAGAGGGGTTGGGAATAGCAAAGACAGTAGAATGAATCCGAGGTAACTTTCCTATTTCATATAAATGAACACACGATCAGTTTAACTTGCACAACCACAGGAATGGGAAGTTCTACTCCGAGTATGTGTAATACGTCGAAATACACTCTAGTGCCATACGTAACCAAAAAGAACAAATATATTTTTAAAAATTATGTACCCAATGAACGAACGAGAGTGAAGTAGTGACACAAATACAAACGCTAAGAATTCACCCCTCCCTAAGGGAAATTCCAGCGGAGGAACTTCAAAAGCAGAGGAAGATGGCCAGACAGAAGTTCTGGTGCAATACGGAAAGAAAGAACAATGAAGAACATTGATAATGGGAGACAGTAACAATGTCTTCCGGGTAAAAATAGAATTTAAGTCCAAAACAACAGTGGCTTGTAACTCTGGTGAGTGGAGCTAGAATGTTCTAAGATCCTTATATTCCTCCGGAGGAAGGGGAGCAATAATGAGTTAAGAATCAAAGTTGGAAATAGAGTAAGATTTACCCAATGAGAGGGGGAAAAACAGAACGAGAAAACCAACCAATTTCAAGGCAGGCAAGAACAGAGAGGGAAGAAACAAACAAACAAAACAACAACAACAACAACAAAAAAAAACAAGATTGGAGGGACAAATATAAATTCAGATGTCCTAGAATTCAACAATACAAATTAACGAAATGTTGTGGTTTAAATACACAGATTGTCACATTGCATAAAATCCAGCTAGATGCAATTTGCAACAAACATCTGCAAGAGATAATTTCCTAAACTCAAGGATGCTGTGTGGTTGAAACTAAGTGCATGATGGGGAAATATCTTACCAATGCTGACGAAAAGAAGGCTGGTGCCATTATTTTAATATCAGGGGAAAAGCCTCACTTGGGACAAAGTCAGTTCATAATGAAAAGGGTCTAACTCAACAGGAGATTAGAACATTTCCAATTTGCATGCAAGCACCATGGTCTTAAAATACAAGAAATAATAAATGAAGAGACCCACAGGAGGAAACAGACAAATCCACAATTATAAGGGAACATTTAAAAATACTCTGTAATAAATAGAACAAGCAGAAAAACATTTAGTAAGACACAGAAGATTTGAACAACATGATGAAAAAACTTGACTCATGGACTTTTCTAGAATACACTTTTTATAGTGACAATGTAGTCGTCTTTCCAAGACAAGATAGTTACCAAAACGGTTCATCTCAAGAAATTCCAAGAGCCTGAAATCATATAAAGAATCATACAAAGTATATCCTCTGACCATAACATATATAAACCAGAGATTAATAACAAAAAATAGGGGCTGCGGTTGTGGCTCAGCGGTAGAGCGCTGGCCTAGCACATATGAAGCACTGGGTTCCATCCTCGGCACCACATAAAAATAAATAAAATAAAGGCATTGTGTCCAACTACAACTAAAACAATTAGAAACAATTAGCAAAAAATAATTCAAAAGCCCCATATGTTTGGAAATTAAGAAGTAAATTTCAAGGACTGGGGATGTGGCTTAGTGGTAGAGCACTTGCCTGGCATGTGTGAGGCACAGGGTTCGATTTTAGCACCACATATAAATAAATAAAGATCCATTGACAACTAAAAAATATTTTTTTAAAAAAAAGAAGTAAATTTCAAAATAACTGATAAACCCAAAAAAGTAAAGCAAAATGTAAACTATATCAAATGAGACTGAAAATACTACATATTAAAAATCATGCGCTAGCTAGTCTCAGTGGCTCACTCCTGTAATCCCAGTAGCTTCGGAGGATGAGGAAGGAGGATAGCAAATTCAAAGTTTGAGGCCAGACTGGGCGACTCAAGGAGACTCTCAGCAATTTAGCAGGACCTTGACTCAAACAAAAGACCCTAAGGAAAATATCAGTAAACCAAGTCTGGCTGTATATAAAAATGATAACACATCATGATAAGATGGGGTCTAGTCCAAAAATGCAAGGTTGGTTTAAGATTTGGAAATCAATATAATTCAGCACATTAAAAGCTAAGAGGAGAGGGATGGGGATGTGGCTCAAGCGGTAGCGATCCTCAGCACCACATAAAAATAAAAATAAAGATGTTGTGTCCACCGAAAACTAAAAAATAAATATTAAAAAATCTCTCTCTCTCTCTGCCACCCCACCACAGAGCATTTGAAATGTGATTAGACCCAGTGAGAGGCAAAATCAAGCACCCATCAGATTTGAAAGACTTCCCTACAAATAAAACCCATTGTGAAATGTCTCTTTGATAATTTTGTATTTATACTGATTGCATGTTGAAATATTTTTGATACCCGAGGTTAAATAAAACATATTTTAAAAATTAATTTCACCTGTTCCTTTAAAAACTTTAATGTAGCTGTTAGAAATGTTCACATTATACCTGTGGCTTGCATTTATGGTTCCCCTTAGTTTTCTATTCGACAGTGCTGTCCCAGGCAGGAGAACAAAATGAGCTGGCCACGGTGGCACAGGCCTGTAATCCCAGTGGCTCAGGAGGCTGAGGCAAGTTCAATGGCGAGGCACTGAGCAACTCAGTGAGACCCTGTGTTTAAATAAAATACAAAATAGGGCTGGGGAGGTGGCTCAGTGGTCCAGTGCCCCTGGGTTCAATCCCCAGTACCCCCCCCAAAAAAAAAAGAAAAAGAAAAGTAAAAGGATGAGAAATAAACTCAGCTCTCATTATTTTCAGATTTTATATAGATCTTTATTTGAATTAATAAGCATATAGCAAAGTTGTCAGCTAAAAAGCAATATACAAAAATCCATTGTGTTTTGTATTTCTGAGTGCAACGATAGACAATTTAAAACTGAAGTAATATATTATATACATATAATGCAAATATGTAAAGTGTCTAGGAATAAGTTAATAAAATGGGTAAGGTCCTAATAATGATAATAATATAATGCATAATGGAATAAAATCATAACATTTTATTGAGAGACGTAAAAATGTCTAAAAAAGATCTAAAAATGGAAACTTGATTCATGGTCCTGAATTGAAAGAATCAGAACCGGAACCATGTTGATCTTCTCTAAATGAGTCTACAGCATCAAGGACCCTAATCAAAACCACCGTGAGTTGTTTTTTTGGATTTGTTTTATTTGGAACTTGAAAATTTACTCGAAAGTGCAGAGAAGCTGAGACTAGTCAAGATCTTCCTGAAGAAGGAGGAAGAGGAGGATATGGTGGCAATGGAATCATCCCTAGAAGATACCAAGACATAAAGCAATGGGGCTGGGGATGTGGCTCAAGCCGTAGCGCGCTCGCCTGGCATGCGTGCAGCTCAGGTTCGATCCTCAGCACCACATACAAACAAAGACGTTGTGTCCGCCGAGAACTAAAAAATAAATATTAAAAAATTTTTTAAAAAGACATAAAGCAAATGGGACTGTGTTCTGTTGACACAAGAACAGAGAAATAAGACATTGGGACAAAAAAGAGACACAGCTGAGCACAGTGGCCCATACCTGTAATCCCAGCCAGTGCTCAGGAGGCTGAGGCAGGAGGTCTACAAATGCAAGGCCAGCCTCATCAACTTAACAAGACCCAGACTCAAAATTTAAAAAAAGAAAGAAAAGGGACGTGCTGTGCTGGGGATGCAGTTCAGTGGCTGAGTTCCCCTGAGTGCCCTCCCCAATACA